TCAGTATTGTGAAAATGACTATACTACCCAAAGCAATCTACAGATTCAATGCAATCCCTATCAAATTACCAGTGGCATTTTTTACAGAACTAGAACAAAAAAATCTTGAAATTTGTATGGAGACACAAAAGACCCCGGATAGCCAAAGCACTCCTGAGGGACAAAAACGGAGCTGGAGGAATCAGACTCCCTGACTTCAGACTATACTACAAAGCTACAGTAATTAAGACAATATGGTACTGGCACAAAAACAGAAATATAGATCAATGGAAGAGGACAGAAAGCCCAGAGATAAACCCACTCACCTATGGTCAACTAACCTATGACAAAGGAGGCAAGGATATACAATGGAGAAAAGACAGTCTCTTCAATAAGTGGTTCTGGGAAAACTGGACAGCTACATGTAAAAGAATGAAATTAGAACACTTCCTAACAACATACACAAAGATAAACTCAAAATGGATTAGAGATCTAAATGTAAGACTGGACACTATAAAACTCTCAGAGGAAAACATAGGAGGAACGCTCTTTGACATAAATCACAGCAGGATCTTTTTTGATCCACCTCCTAGAGTAATGGGAATAAAAACAAAAATGAACAAATGGGACCTAATGAAACTTAGAAGCTTTTGCAAAGCAAAGGAAACTACAAACAAGACAAAAAGACAACCCTCAGAATGGGAGAAAATGTTTGCAAACGAATCATCGGACAAAGGATTAATCTCCAAAATATATAAACAGCTCATGCAGCTCAATATTAAAAAAACAAACAACCCAATCCAAAAATGGGCAGAAGACCTAAATAGACATTTCTCCAAAGAAGACATACAGATGGCCAAGAAGCACCTGAAAAGCTGCTCAACATCACTAATTATTAGGGAAATGCAAATCAAAACTACAATGAGGTATCACCTCACACCAGTTAGAAAAGGCATCATCAGAAAATCTACAAACAACAAATGCTGGAGAGGGTGTGGAGAAAAGGGAACCCTCTTGCACTGTTGGTGGGAATGTAAATTGATACAGCCACTATGGAGAACAGTATGGAGGTTCCTTAAAAAACTACAAATAGAATTATCATATGACCCAACAATCCCACTACTGGGCATATACCCAGAGAAAACCATAATTCAAAAAGACACGTGCACCCCAATGTTCATTGCAGCACTATTTACAATAGCCAGGTCATGGAAGCAACCTAAACGTCCATCGACAGACGAATGAATAAAAAAGATGTGGTAGATATATACAATGGAATATTACCCAGCCATAAAAAGAAACGAAACTGGGTCATTTGTAGAGATGTGGATGGATCTAGAAACTGTCATACAGAGTGAAGTAAGTCAGAAAGAGAAAAACAAATATCGTATATTAACGCATATATGTGGAACCTAGAAAAATGGTACAGATGAACCAGTTTGCAGGGCAGAAATAGAGACACAGATGTAGAGAACAAACGTATGGACACCAAGGGGGGAAAATGGCGGGAGGGGTGGTGGTGGTGGTGGTGGTGTGATGAACTGGGAGATCAGGATTGACATATATACACTAATACGTATAAAATAGGTAACTAATAAGAACCTGCTGTATAAAAAATAAATTAAAAAAAAAAAAAAAAAAAAAGGCCCATCGTTTCCTAGAGGTTTGGCCTCTCTTCCAGCTGATGTCACCTGCTTAGTGCTCCTCATCAGTTCTTCAGCTCATCAACCACAAATGTCGTTGCCTTATAGTTTTATATCCCCTTTCACCAGCTCGAGGGTCAGTTAACCTTCTCTGAAATTCTTAACACCTGCAAATTTTAGCTTCAGCCTTCTACTATTTACAAGTGAACACACAAACTTGGTTCACTTATGCTACCTGTTGACCTCTAAAATATTTGGGGAGCTTTGGATTCTCCTTTTAAAGTCAAATAAAACTGCGCTATAAAAGAAGTGACTCAGTGTTATGGATTGAATGTTTATGTTCCCCCCCAAATTCCTGTGTTGAAACCTAATCCCCAGTGTGATGGTATCTGGAGGTGAGGCTTTGGGGAGGTGATTAGGTCATGAGGGTGAAGCCCTCATGAATGGGATTAGTGCCCCTCACCTTTTTCTTTGGCTGCACCACACTGCATGCGGGGTCCTAGTTCCCAGAGCAGGGACTGAACCCGTGCCCGCTGCAGTGGAAGCGTAGAGTCTTAACCACTGGACCTCCAGGAAAGTCCCTGGGATTAGTGCCCTTATAAACGGACCCCAGACAGCTTTCTCCTTGCCTTTCTGCCATGTAAGGAGACAACAAGAAGTCAGTACTCTGCAACCCTGAAGAGGGCTCTCACCAGTACTAACCATGCTGGCACCCTGATCTGGGACTTCTAGCCTCCAGAACTGGGAAATAAATGCTCGTTGTTTAAGCACCCAGTGCAGTCTATGATAATTTATGATAGCAGCTCACACTGACTATGACACTCAGCCAGGACAGCAGCCATGTGAACACAGTTATCTCCTTACCCATGAGGTTCATCTTGGCACTGTAACTCCCGAAGTACCGCTCATCGGTGTTGGGCGTGTGGCATTCATACTCCCCAGCATCCCGGGCCTGGAGGTCGGTGATGTGCAATAAAGCCGAGTTCCCCTGGACCCTCTCCACGTAGATCTTCCCGCTGCGGACACGCTGGGTATAGATGGCGTAAGGGAAGGAAGAGTCCATGGTGCTGACAATCTGGACCTCGCGCTCAGGGGCGGAGGGCAGGTAAATGGACCACTGGAAATTCTGCTCAGAAGGCCCCTGGTAGCCGCTGACGTTGCACCAGATGGTGATGTGGGAGCCCTCTGTGCGGTACAAGGGTCCTTCCTGGACGGCGACTTGCCGCTGTGCTGACACTACCCCTGTGGGGGAGACACACACAACAGGCTCACTTACTTCTCAGACCAAAATGCAAAGCAGGCAGCAATGTTCAAAGGTTTTGTTATTCGTGTGACATGGTAATAATATAAGCAGCTTACTGGCCCTTTCTGAGGCGCTCTTTGATTTATAAATATTAATTAAAACACTGTGGTAAAGCACTGTCTCTAATTTGCATATATGGGAATTTGATCATGCAAGGACATGGTTCTGTTACTTATTCAATGGCTGACTCTTGGGAATTTCATTTAGTCCCTCTGTCATTTATGCAGCAGTTTTATAACTATTTATTAATGCCCTTTATAAAGTTTTTAATAAAATGAGAAGGAAAAGTTGAATCCTTGGCACGAATTCAGAGGAAAACAAATAAAAGCAATTGCCTTGCAATCTGGCTGAAACTAAATAAATGCTCCTTTCTCGATTAGAGGGCTGGTAGGAGGGAGCCCTGGGGCCCTTTCTTTGGTGCTGCACCCTTATTTGCAAGAGGTAGCTACTCCCATGACACCACGTAGAGCATTTGTTACACCCTCTTCCCTCCATATGCAGAGGCAAAGCTGAGCTCCTGCAGGCCGCTGTTCTGAGTGCACATGAACAGGAATGGGAAGGGCTGACACACATCCCTGACGGCCAGATGCACACACCGCCGATGGGGGCAACTGACGGTGCCCCCCGTAACAAGGAAGTCAGGCTGCTCTGGAGACTGAGCTCTGATTCACCACCGGCCGCCCACCTTCTGGCTGGGACGTGCGTCTCCGCCTGGCCTCTGCCTGCCTTCTCCGTGTTCTTAACATGGTCTCCCCTCGCAGACTCAGGGGCGGGAAATATAGTGAGTTTGCCTACTCCTTCCATGCCAGCACAGCTGATTCTGCCTGAGCCACTGAGAAGGTGGGAGGGGGGCACACCCCTGTGGCCTTCCCCTTGACAGCAGGGGGGGCACAGCACTGTGGCAGAAAGAGCAGGGGAGGGCTAGTCACAGCTTTGCCAGGAGCTGGAGCTGGCTGTGCCATCTTGGACGAGCTGCTTTTCCTCTCTTGTACCTTGATCTCTTCATCCACAAAATGATTTCTAAGAAGGCTTTGGAGTGGACTAGCACGTGTGCCAATGCTGGCTTTGTCACTTATTAGATTAGTTGTGACCTTGGATAAGTTACTTAACCTCTCCAAGCTTCAGTTTTCTCATCTGTAAGATAGGGATAATCATGTGTGCCTCGCAGCAGAGTTATCAAAAGACTGAATTAGATAACATATATAAAGCCCCTAGCATGGGGCCTAGCCCATAATTAGTCCTTAAGAAAGAGCTGCTAGCTAGGGCCCCTCCTGGCTGGAATATTCTGTGGCTCTGGATCCAGAGAGGACAGGATTTTGGCCAGTGATCCCTCGAGGACACGCCAATGGCCTCTTGACGATGACACCATTTGTGGGGTCACCCACCTCCACCCACAGCTGCGGCCCACTCCCACTCCCATGAAAGCTTCTCCCACTCTCCCGCCAAAAGGCAATCACAGCTGCCCCAGCTTAAACTTATCTGAAATGGATCCAGTTGGGGAACAGCCGGGACAGCTCAAATCCTAGCAGGATGCAGCTTTAAGCCCAGCCCGGGGGATGCTTGAGCCTCAAAGCAAGCTGATCTAATCTAAAACAGACGCTACAAGGAAAGGCCTGTGGCTTATAAACTTTTATTCGTGCACAATCTTTTCTCCCAAACAAAATCTTACATGGAACCCCACCTTTGGCTTAAGCAGCAGAAGCCAGGAAAGTGAAAAGGGGGGTGGGGAGAGGTGGCAAATCAACAGATGGAAGTGGTACGTGAATTTACGTGATACATCCTGGTTGACAGCATTCACAGCTATACCGAAGGTCACGGAGAAGACAGCTCATTAGTTATTTTCAGTATGTTAAAATTTAGTGTGTAACATTTTTACTGTGTGTCCTACAACAATTTAAAAAAATATATATATGTATATAATGACACCTGAACCAAATGTTTGCAGTACTCCAGAAATGCAGAACTTTGAAAACAATGTAACTACATTCACAACTTTCAGGTCTCCCTGCACTTCAAAGTTCTACGACAAAAGAGCCACAACCACGCCCCACCCGCTGCAAAGAAGGCTGGAGGCAGGTCAGGACCAGCCAGCATCTTTGTTAGGGCACTAGTTCTCAACCTTAGACCCACACTGGAATCACCTGGAGAGCTTTAAAAAAATAACAGGGCCCGGGCCCCACCCCGTGTAACTGGTCTGGTGTGCAGAAGCCTGGGCATTAGGAGTTTTAAAAGCTCCAATGCACAGCAGTGTCGAGATGTCTTTATCTACAGAGTGCCAGCCAGGTGCCCAAATTAAAGACCAGATCATGATTTAAGACTCTCAATAGCTTTGAGCTCCTTCCTTTGCTGGTTTGGGTCAAGAAAGTTTTATTCTCCTCTAGTGAATGGGCAGAAGAAAGCAGCTGAGGCCCATCAGATACTGGCTATGATGATGCAATACTGAGCTCACCTAGAGCGCATTCTATTTACAGACCTTACAAAAGCACTAGATCGGGGGATCATACACATTATTCCCCTGAAAGGTAAACAGTGTTAAGTGGCCTGGATGAGCCAGGGCATCAGGGTCAAAACGACTTGTCCGAGTCAGAAGCCGGTTATAAACAGTCCTGACAAATAAATAAATAAATAGATACTAGATTGTACTTTAACCATACACATTCAGCTGCACCTGCTTATTAAATATCTTCTGAATTCCCTTCCGACCCCACAAAGGGCCTCTGACCCTTGAAAATAATGCTGCTCTTAGGAAGTGGACCCTAACATAGAAATAGAAATTAACTTTTTCTTCTCAGCAGTTTAATTCCCATTCTATACCCCACATTCCCCATTTCCTTCTCCTGGCACTGCCCCTGCTGTCCGGATCTCATTTTCCTAGATGCTGCTACCTTCAAAAAGACAGAGCCCCGGGCTTCCCTGGTGGCGCAGTGCTTGAGAGTCCGCCTGCCGATGCAGGGGACACAGGTTCGTGCCCCGGTCCGGGAGGATCCCACGTGCCACGGAGCGGCTGGGCCCGTGGGCCATGGCCGCTGGGCCTGCGCATCCGGAGCCTGTGCTCCGCAACGGGAGAGGCCACAACAGTGAGAGGCCCGCGTACCACGCAAAAAACAAAAAAAAAGAAAAAGAAAAAAAAGAAAAGACAGAGCCCCGACCCTGGCCAAGGCATCTCCTGACCCCACTGTCCCTTCCATCTTCCCTCTCAGCCTACAACAGAAGGTTCCTCTGGGCAGGGATCAAAGATAACATTTTTTACTTTAGACATTTCTGTACTCTTTGTTTTGCAATAAGTAAGTATCACTTCTCTAAATTAAAATGATCCAAGTATTATATATAACTGTATAAAAAGGACTAGACACAAAAGACATAAAAAGAGTGGCAGACAAAAATAGGAACAAAAAACAAGGGCAACAAAAAATAGTAATGAATATGGTAGATATTAATCCAACTATATCAATAATCACTTTGAATGTCAATGGTCTAAATGTACCAATTAAAAGACAGAGATTGTCAGAGTGGATTAAAAACACTACCCAACTATACCCTGTCTGCAAGAAACCCACTTTAAACATAAAGACAAACAGATTAAAAGTAAATGAATGGAGAAAAATACACCATGTTAACACTAATCAAAAGAGCTGGAGTGGCTATAGTAATTTTAGACTTCAAAGTAAGGAAAATTATCAGGAATGAAGGACATTACATAATGATTAAAGGAGTCAATTCTCCAAGAAGACATAACAGGTCTTACTGCATATGCACATAACAACAGAGCATCAAACTACATGAGGCAAAAACTGATAGAACTGCAAGGAAAAAAAGATGAATCCACTAGCATAGTTGATGATGTCAACACCTCTCTCTCAGAAATGGACAGAATCAGCAAGCAGTAAATCCATAACGACATAGTTGAACTCAACAACACCTTCACAGTAGAATACACATTCTTCTCATGCTCACATGGAACATTCACCAACACAGACCATATTCTGGGCCATAAAATACCCCTTAACAAATTTTAGAAAATAGAAATCATATAATATCTGCTGGTAGACCAAAATGGAATTAAACTAGAAATCAATAATAGAAAGATAACTGGAAAATACCAAAATATGTGGAGATTAAACAACGCACCTCTAAATAACACACGGGTCACAGAAGAAAATCTCAAGAGAAATTTAAAAAAATACTTTTAAACTATCAATAAATGAAAATTAAAATATGACTTAGCAAAAGCTATGATATGCAAGGAAAGCAGTGCTTAGAGGAAAATTTATAGCATTGAATTAGAAAACAATAAAAATCTTAAGTCAATAATCTAAGTTTCTACCTTAGGAAATTAGGAAAGGAGGAGTAAAGTAAATCCAAAGTAAGCAGAAGAAATAAGAATTAGGGTAGAAATCAATGAAATTAAAAACAGAAAATCAACAGAGAAAGTCAATGAAACCAAAAGCTGGTTTTTTGAAAATATCAATAAAACCAATAAGCCTCTAGCCAGGTTAACAAAGAAAAAAAGAGGGTACAAGTTACTAATATCCAAAATGAAAGAGAGGAAACTATAAGATTCTATGGAAATTAAGAGAATAATAAAGGAATCCTATGAACAACTGTATGATCACAAATTTGATAACCTAGATGAAATGGAACAACTCCTTGAAATATACAATCCGCAAAAACTCACACAAGAAGCAAAGATGAGCTGAATAGGTCTATACCTATTAAAGACACTTCATCAATAATTAATAACCGTCCAAAACAGAAAGCACCAGGCCCAGATGCGGTCACTGGCGAATTCTACCAAACATTTAAGGAAGAAATTATACCAATTCTCTACAATCTCTTTCATAGGATGGAAACAGAGGGAATACCCGCTCCTAACTCATTCTATCAGGCCAGCATTACCCTAATACCAAAATCAACAAAGGCATTATAAGAAAACTACAGA